TATGCACGATGAATAACATAAAAAAGAGAAAACCTACGAGAAACCTTGAACCACCAACAATGGTGGTCATGAACCATATACCAATCACAAACATGCTAACCAGTCATTTGCGACCTTCCCTGACAAGCATTAGAGAGGTTAACATTTTAATGTTTTTGCAAGAACAGTTATTAACTTCATCTTTAATTTAATCATGTTTATGATTATTTAATACCCATATATTACTTCGTTATTAGTTAGAAATTGTAATTTTAGTTATCAGCTGGTATGTACTCCTATCATGATTGATATATGTGTGTGTGTCTGTGTGTGCGCGCGTGTGTGTCAGCAATACCATCATTAAACATCACTTGATTTCTATTCCACCATAAGCATCAACCTATTGCTACTCATATATATATATATATATATATATATATATATATATATATATATATATATATATATATATATATATATATATATATATATATATATATATATATATATATATATATATATATATATATATATATATATATATATATATATATATATATATATATATATATATATATATATATATATATATATATATATATATATATATATATATATATATATATATATATATATATATATATATATATATATATATATATATATATATGTGTGTGTGTGTGTGTGAGATATATATATATATATATATATATATATATATATATATATATATATATATATATATATATATATATATATATATATATATATATATATATATATATATATATATATATATATATATATATATATATATATATATATATATATATATATATATATATATATATATATATATATATATATATATATATATATATATATATATATATATATATATATATATATATATATATATATATATATGTGTGTGTGTGTGTGTGAGAGAGAGAGAGAGAGAATTAATAAGATTGTAAAAAGAAGAAAATTCAATGTTATATTTTTTCGGCGGTTTGGCACATACGCTGCTGTTACTATTAAGCATAGATAAATAATAAATTTGAGTTATGTTATGTTACTGTTATGCATATACTAATAATAAATAATTGATGTTTTGGTATTGTTATGTGGTTGGAATGTACATGATCATAATGTCTCAATTTGAGTGAGTAATAGAAAATAATACATAGATGACTTATGAATTGTTTAGTTGAGAAGTACATAAATTGATATTTTGGTAGTTTTTGACAACACGTGGTTTACTTTAGAAAAATGATTTTCATAAATTATCGAGATATGCATCATATAGGATATAGAATGTGTATAGATAAGTCATTATGGTTGTCATTATGGTATAAGTTCGATGCTTTTCGGGCCTTTGTGGCATAAGTATTTGTGTCAAGGTTGACGTTTTTGGCCCTTTGTGGCAGGAGCCTGTGTAACAGTTTTCTCCATTGAAATGAGTTTATTTATCTGGGTCATATGTGTCTCATATATTAGTTTTAGTCACATTGCATTTCATATCATATAAAATAAAATTTAAAATTGATAATTATATTTTAATTGTGAATGGTTTTGTTATTATTTTATGACACTTTCTTAAGGTGAGTATGCTTCAATGTGGAGATGAAACTTGACCTTTACGATTAACATTTTAGGTACTCGAGGAGAAAAGCATGGTTGAATGTGTTGTTAGAAGCGTGTATGGGGGAAAACAAGGTTTTCAATGTTATCACTTTATTTAATTAAATAAGTCATTACGATACACTACTTTATTTCACTTATTATTAGCATTTGAACTCGTTTAGAAATGTGGATATTGATTTTCTTCCGCTAGGAATTTTGAACTATTGTACAATATTATTAAATCTATGTTTCTTCAAAGTCATTGCTATAATTTTCTCATTTTATAATTAAAAAATTGCCTCATTTCTAATAGCATTATTAAATAATAACTTGGAGAAATTTTGGGATATTACACATATTCTTAGTGTAGGTAGGTATCAACATCTGACCATCCGAATATGCGCGGGAAATACTGAAAGATCAATGCCTGAAAAATGGTACATAAGAATTATTAGTAATGGTGTAGCACAAGTGTTAAGGAAATGGTACTGAAACAGTAAAGAATGAAAATTATTGTCTACAACTTGTAGCTATCTATCATCTATTTAGTCTTCCATATACAACTTTCACCTAACTTGGAGTTCATGTAAACCAAACAAGCACCCCTCAGTTGTATTCATGAATCTGCTCCAAGTCACCGAAGTATCTGAGTTAAACCACATCCACGTAATAGACACTCTTATCCATAAATATGGATGTGACAACCAAGTACAACATGTATGCTCTGAATGTGTATGCTTTATGCTACATTAGGGGTGTTTAAAACCGAACTGGTCCAACCAAAAATCGCAAATTGAATCGATTCAAATCGAAAACCGCAAAAACCTGCATTTGGTTCAGATGTGTTTAGGTCATTTTTTGACAAAACCGCGCGGTTCGGTTAGATCTGCGGTTAACCAACCTGTATTATATTACAACCCAAACTTCACTTAACCCACATCCAACTCAAACTCAAACATATTGTGCATTAGGCTTACGATTACAAACTATTTTGTCTTCCTCACACTTAGGTTTTTAGTTTCAGTCTTCTCAAACTATCCTAGCAGTATCACGCCTTCTTCGTTAGGTACATTTCATCTTTTCTTCACTAATCTCTACTATATTATATTCTTTCTTTTCATCTTTTCATTTTTATGTTAATGTTCTCTCTTACAATTTCATTTTAATTGCACATTTTCTTATCTAATCTCTCCTCCCTTATGTTGTTTCTTATTCATCTTCACTAATCTCTCATCTCTTCTGGGTTTTTTTTCATATATTGTTTTATGCTATTGTTATATGTTTATTATTTTATTATTGTCTAATATGATTTTTATATATTAAATGAGAAGTTGTTGTCCAAATATGATGAATTTTGTTGTTATTTGGTTATGTATGAATGACTAAACACAAAGTTTTGTTGTCCTTTATATGTGTATGCATGACTCAATTAAAATTTTGTAAAAAAGCGAACCAACTGAATCGAATCAAACCATATTGGTTTGATTTGGTTTGGTTTTATTTCTAAAAGTCAACCAAACCGCACACTTTTTTTTCTTGCGGTTCGGATGATTTTTAGCTTCAAAACTGCATTGCGAACACTTCTATGTTACATAATCTGCTCATCATCACCATTAATTTGCTCTGCCTTGTAAGTTTCCATGCATAGATCCTCTCCAGTAATCCAAACATAGCATGACACGTCTGATGTCTTCTATCTCCTTCAGAGCATCCCTCGAGTAGTTGCGTCACATCGTGAAACCACTGCTTCTACTCATGAGGCTAATGCATCCTTGCAATCCTTCGACCATGATTGATGCATTTTAAAGCATCACACTTCCACACATGTCTGACAACATGGTCCAGATATACAAACAGCATCGATAAGTTGTATGGGTCTCTTCCAAACCCCTTAGGAACATAATCAGCCTTGAGGGCCTCAACCTAGATCGATGGGGCTTTCGGGACATCAAGAGGTGACACCTGTCTCCTCTAGGATGGAACTGGAGATGCATGAATCCAAATGACGCCTCTGCATCAAACAAACTAGAACTGACAGGTCGTTGTGAAAGTCAGGATCTTTACCATGAATTGATGCATGTTGCGACGCTCTATCGAGCTTCAATCTTTCTTGGTTAGCATCCACTCTACTATAATTAAATCACACAAGCATTACATAATAGAAAAAATCAAACTTATATGGAACACAATCAAAATACAAAATGCATTTCCAGATTTTTGAAAAATCAAAATTCTGAACAAATACGAAAGTGCATTTCTATATTAATCTACAACTCAGACAGAACGAAAATTGCATACATACATGGAAATCCAACATTCTAAAAACACATTGTCCATCTAAACTACCTATCAAACACATTACTCGATTAAATAACCTATCTAAACTATTTATTACACAACCAAATGCTCAATTTCTACAAATGCATATAAATAGAAATCAAATGTATATATAAATCAAAAACTTGCTAAATGTGAGTCTGATGTTGATCCTTTTGATTGATTGGATGTTGAGAGTATACTTGAAAGTGAATCAAGAGAATTTGAGAGCAAAAAAAATGAGAAAGAAGAAAAGTCTTACGCGTTTTTTTAATTAAAAACCCATCCGAGTATGCATATCTATAAATTATTCAAAAATGCATTTCCATATTATTCTTTTGACAAAATTAAAATCTGATTCAATTACGAATAAATTGTGTGATAGAATACGATCGAAAGTATACATCAATATTATAGGAATAGTTTTGGTTTTCACTTGAGTGTGAAAACAAGAAGAGCAATCCCCAAACAAATACATATTATAAAAACAAAACACATGGGCTGCCCAGTTGTAACGTGCTTCTATGGAGCAAATATTGAAGAGAAAAAAACATTCCTCTCATACTATTCCCTTTCTTAAACCTAGATATATTCCGCAACAGTGGTAATAAAATCTTCTTCCTTGCAGCAACACGGGCAACAGTGAGAGACATAGTTGAGAAGTTAATTGTGGATACTGTAGAATCGATTCAACAACGTTGCTTTTGCTGAAATCAAATCTATGGTTCAAAATCAATTTTCCTTTACAGATCCAAGCATCACTGTTTTACCTTGAAAAAGTGCATTTATCGGCTGAACCAAATATATACTTAAATCCTAACAAATATATCATTGAGTAATTTGATTGAATGAATAAACCTATCTAGATAAATTGTGATTTCTTTTCATAATTCTTAACCAACAGATAAGAGAAAAATTGCAGAACATTGTTTACTGAAGATTCAACTAAGTCACACACTACCTATCTTACAAGGAAATAGCAAGGATATCTCTTAGGTACTTCTTAGGAAAAGATGCACATCTGTAGCCCGTCAGATTTACCAATCTAGAAGTGATGTTGCCAAACAAGTTATACACAACTATCTTCGTAGTTGCCTCTGCAAAATAATAAGCAAATAACAATTGCATGAAAACCATTTCATTGGGGGAATATGCATGTATGACCAAAACAACAGTCTTCCATCATTTAAAAACTAATTATATTGAATTTTTATAAATGATGTTGTTGATATTTGTAAATATTTTCTTGGAAAATGAAATGTCTCTGTAAAATATATTTATGCTGTCAAAATAAAGCTAATGCACTCGAGTAAAAAGTGTGTAGCAAGCAAATAAGTAAATGTATAGATACTTTAGTGGATAGTTATATGGTGCACAACAAGTAGATAGGTGTTGTACAATGCACAAGTTTGTTTCTATCATTGGATTAATGTCACATATCATTGGATCAGATGAGATATGGTGGGATTTATCGATCCAGTGTTGGAAAATAAACTTGTGCATGGTAAAATACTATCTTACTTGTGCATCATATAATTAGCCTATTTTAGTAGACGGAACATTTCTGAGTTATATCAAACAAACATACTCTAGGGGCATTCTGGGCAACTTGCGGTCGTCTTTCAGAAACTCGCTCTGGATCTGGGATTAACTCTGGAGAATCATGCTTGTAAAATGCTTGTAAAGCTCTTCCAATAAATGGACGAACAATATTCACTTCCATTGCCGATAAATTTTTAATCTACAATATACCAAGAATTATGGTGTAAATTGTTAGCAGATAAATGAACAGATATAGCAAGACAAACAGCCTGTATTTTCCAGCCAAATTTTCCAATACACCAGAACATTCTAAAAACTGGAAAAGAACTTAAAATGGGGGCTGCATGTGCATCCAAGATGCAAGTACAAAAAAAGTGTAAAAGAACAAACGTCCCATCTATCTCCACTTTATTTAAAACAAAATTTATAACTGGGAAATTTATAAGCCTCTTTACATAGAAAGCTGATAGAAACTATTTATTTGAGTACACTAGGCAATTATAGATGCAAGTGATGTAACAGAATTTATAACCAACCACTCAGTTAAATGAAATTTTTTGAAATGGACCTAAGAATCCATAGTATAGCTAGTTGAGTTTCTAATAGAAACCAACTAGTATTATCAAGAAATTAAGATTCCTAAAGTAACATATTGACCTCTCAACAAACTGAGGTTTCTGGAAACTATGTTAGTCTGGAAGGGTACTATTCGCCCCTGAAACTTTATCGACGAACAAATGAAATACAAAAAGGAGAACTATCTCCTCTCTCGCTTGAATTCTAGCCAAAGTACAATCTAAAGAGCAAGACACTCGGATCACTAAATCCTGGTACAGTGACAAGGCAAATCAACAGCTGATACAACCTAGGAAGACATGATAACAATCCAGGAACAATTCCCAGACATCAACCTTGAGGACAAGGTAAAGCCTGAGGGGAGTATTGTACGGAACCACACTAAACCCATGCTATCTCCTCTCTGGATGAGGAGATGCCGCAACCATTTGACTGGTGTCCGGCCGTTTAAGTGGTGGTGTAATGGCAACCAGATTCTGCATTTCTTGGATCTTTCAGACCACCACACATGGATATCTGTTCGTTGGTGGTTCTCGCTGTGGCAGAACCATCACATGTTGATCTGAATTTGGCAGTTCCGATGGCTCTGGTGGTTTCTTCAATGGTCTGAGTGATGCAGGTCTTGGACTAATTTAGAACGGTGTTGCTACCACTAGCACATCAGCTCCTGAGGGGCTCTGTCGCAAGTTAAGTGACTAGGTTGCCTTTTGTGGTTCCTGCATCTTCTCAATCCGCTTCACTCGATGAGAAAAAGTCTCATCAACTCACCCTCACGCACTTTCTCTTTTGGATCTACTTCCTTCTTCTCCGCCGTCTTAGATTTGGAAACTGAATCTTCAGTATAAGAGAAGGAATGAGCACCTCTTCGAAGAGCAGTGATCTGGCGTTATCGCAACCTCTGTAATCATGGTTTGACGGATTTCCTCCTTCTTGTGTCAAGGAGATCTCCATTGTTGTGATTCTCACTTCCAGGGCAGCCAATCGCTTGCACATTTCCGGCAACATCTCCAGCGACTTCGCTAGCTCCTCTCGATTAATCCAGCAGGTCGGACCAATGATGAACCCAAAAAATTAAGGTAACAAATGTATACTATTGAATGGAAATGGATAAGCTTAAGAGCTCTATAATGGTGGCAAAACAGAAAAAGAAATGATAAACCAGAGTCCAAGAGTCCTACTATAGAGTAAAGCTCCTACCCCTAGAGATAACTCTCCTAACCAACTCTAACAATATTTCTGAATGAATTACTCACTGCCCTTCCCTCTCTTATATAACAGAAAATTCCCTAAAATCAGGGAGTGTTAACAAACTTTTATTCTCTCTCCCTGGCCCCACTTTTCCTTTCCAGGTTCCTATCAGACTAAAACTCCTTTAGAAGGCTCAGGAATTCATTTTACATAAACATTGTAAACTAGAGATGGCTCAAGGGATTAGAGTCGTCTGTGTAATTTCTTTTTTGTCATGAATAAAACTATTCAAGATCATCCTTTATCTTCTTTCATTGCCCGGATTAGAACTGTTTTATACCAATAAAAACCAACTAGTTTTATCATGAATGAGAGACGATTCATGTTTCACAAAAATGATTTCAGGAGTATTTGACCAATGCGAAAAGCATTTGACAAATGCTAAAAGTCCCTAAGTCTATGCAAATAACATGATATATCACTCTCTAGGAATCCTTAAAGTATATAGCAGCATGCCTTATTTCCTAATTACCTAATGAACTCTTAACATAACAAACAACTAACAGATTAACCTCATAACCGACACTAATTGACTTATCAAATGCAAAGTTTGGCATCAACTCTATCACATAGTGACACTTAGAGAGAAAATTGTCTTGTGGCTTACATTCAACTGTGGCCTATTACTAGTATGAAATGTTAAATGCAACTGAAAATGAAATACACAACAGTGATTGCATAACATGCTGTAAGTAAATGAAAATCATCCTTGACTATTTAAACAAACTTCACAATCAGATCTACATTCCAGACTTTCACAGACCATTGTACCGCCAAAAACATCCGAGATATTACCTTCACAGCTATTGTAAAACCATTGAATCCTTCCAAGTCAGTCTCAACTTTATGAAACCTTACATCTCTGATGTCCTCAATTAAAGACCTCACCTTCACAAGAAATAAGCTAAGCATCAGAAGAAAATCCTCCAGCATATTTCTGGAAAGTCAAACTTCATAGAACTCACCATGTATGCGTCAGGAATGTTGTCACGGGCACTGTAAATAAAAAATATAGATGTTAATTAATCTGTTAATGTAGTAAAATAAAAAGTATCCAACAGAATAAGACTTTTTTTTTAAAGAATATGATATCATTTGTCTCTACGCTTACTGGTCAAAAAGAAGTCTTGAAATTTCTACATAATGAAATGGCAAATGCCCTGACATCTCTTGAGAGTCTCGCTCTTCTTCCAACACTTGTGTCAACTTCTCTAGACACAAACAAATGTTATGGAGATATATTAAGTCTTTACTTCCTGTTATTACTTTAACCAACAACTTTTAGACAGGAGAAAGATCAGAGTATCACAGTATTATTGTTCACGTGTAGACCAACCAAAGGACAGAAAAATTTAAAAAGAACCGGGTAATTAACAATCATAAGCAATATAAAAATAAATAGTACTAGAATCAGTTTGGATTCAACTGTTTTCCTCTGAATTTATGGGATAAAAATTATGTGGTGGATTTATTGATGAAACTCTGAAAATAACTTTCCTTCAGAGTTGTGTTACAAAAGAGAAATACAAAAATTGCAGCAATAGATAGAATAGGGGAAAAATAAAAAAATAACTGCCCACTAGGAGTTAGAGAGCCTAATCTCTCCCAAACCAAGCAACATACAAAATACCCAAACTAAGCTTACCAACAGACATCCATTGGGGAGGGACAATGGAGCACTTGCCTCTCCTCTTGAGAGCAATTGCCAACCAAAGCGGTACTTGAGTAACAATTTGTGGCGTAAATGGACCAAAATCTCCCTGCCATTGTCATTAAAAAACAAAATAATCGAGCAAATATGTATTTAAGGAAGAAATCGTGTTGAGGTGTTTGAGATATGTGTTATTGCTTACAGAAACTAGGCAGAGAGGATCCATTTTGAGATTAGGAACGATGTCGACAATCTCATCCTCAGCAATGAATTCAAGCTAATTTACAAACAAAACAAGATCATAATATATTAATAACTTTTAAACAATGTCAGTAAGATAGTCCTACATGGGAGATATCATTCCTCCATACCTCCTCTGCTGAAAAGAGTGAGAGTTCATGGTTGGATTGCCCAGCCATCTCTTCTTTTTCAACTTTGAACTCAAGAAACGGATCCGATTCACAGCTTTACTTGTCCTGTAAAGAGACAAAAACCCGAGGGGTGCTGAGTAATCAATTCCGGATTGTGGCACAGACCAACCCCCACAATAGAATAGCATTTACCATGGATGGCTGCTATTTAATATTATTTTGAACAAATTACAAGAATAATAATACCATAACACATATTTAATGAAAAATTAAACAAAATAGCTAAAAAGTCATGAAATATTCATAATCAACAATAAAATAAGGTACAGGTTTTAATGAAACATACATTTAACCACCATCAAAAGTCAAGAACACAAAGAAGCTTAGGTCACTAAGATGAAGTCGCTAATATTTCTGTTGTACAAATAACAGCAGGTGGTAAACACACGACATTACCCTACTATGCTCTAATCGCATATACACGTGGATTGAGAACAACACTTTGTTTAAGTAAACAGACATTACATTCATTGTTATCAAATTGCGGCACCATGGCCGCTATGGCAGATATACGGCAGTTTTCGGGCTCACCGCAATGGTAAATATCGGCTGCTATTGCGGATTTTTCCGTCATAATCTGCAATAGTGGCCGGTATGGCAGGAATTTGACTCTCCACCATGGACTGCCATCCGCCATCGACAACAATTATCACATTTGACATAACCACATTACACAAAAATAATATAAACACCATCGCAAAGATTTCCATCCCATATGTTAAAAAAATACAAGGATTAGTGCCCTTACCTAGACTCTCCCAAATCCAATCACAACACCAGCTTTGATTACTTCCCTGGCAACTTCACACAAATGAAATTATTAAATAAAAATTTAAACTCCAAACTTAACATCAAAGGGACCAATTTGACTAAGATCCCAATTTTGACCTAAGTTAAAACTCATCTAATATGTTATACACCTCTAGTTTTAAAAAGTTCTCAACTTACTCCAAAAACTTCGTGAACAAAACCTTTGCCAAATTAATTTTTTAAATACAACTCTAAAACCAGTACAACTCAAAAAGATTTGAATCCTTCCTCCTACAAATATCGTTTGGTAAAAATTTCCTAATGAGAGACAATATACTTATGCATTTTGAATCACGCTCTGTAATATTTGTTCAAGTTTTAATATGACAAAATTGATCCTTTTACTTTTTAAAGCTTGAACTAAGGAATTTATCAAAGAAACACACTTACCTTTTAGGAGCGACGGTCACGCCGATCTGAGAAACTCCGGCACGGTGGCTTCACTCCAAAAGTTTCGCAACAACTAAGTATGGAAGGAGAGAGGAGATTCAATGGCAGCTAGGGTTCGGGAAGAGGAGGAAATGAAACCGATTTTTGAGCGGGAAAGGCATGCTATATTTCCCCTAATTTTATCCGTTGGATCAATCTAATGGCTTAGATCTTATTTTATGTTTTAGAAAAATATTTAATAAAATGAAGTAGAATGAATACAAACTTCAACTTTGTCAAAAATAAAAAATAAAAAATATTTTATTATTAAGAAAATCGGAAAAGAAAAAAATGAAAGGATAAATCTCAATCTTTCCTTATTACTATTACTTTATGATTTTTATTAAAAAAGAAACTAAATTTAAAATTCATCTCTAAAATAGTGATATGTATGCATTCTTATATTTCTTTTTCAAATTGTTGTACTGACTATCATTACTAAAAACAATATAGTACTACAAAGAATGTAAGAAGTCACATTAAATCTGCGGTAGGAGCAAAACAAATGAATGTTGAAGATGGAAAATGGTGAAGGTGAGTGTGATAGTGGAAAAAATAATGGATGTATGGAATCTTATAGTAAATTCTTCTACTAAAGAGTTATATGTTGATTTCGTTATACATTTTAGAAAGGTGTGCGAGAAATATCCAGATTTGTTGAAATATGTTGAAAGCATAATTCTTGACTAGGTGAAGGAGAAAATTATTTGTGCATGGACCGATCAGGATAGATACCTTAGAAATACAACAACCCGAGTGGAGTTTGTCTGTGCTACATTGAAGAACTGGTAGGGAAATATTAATGGCGATTTGTGTAGAGATTTAGACCTTGTGAGCCAAATGATCCAAAACCAGCATGATGAGATACAAAAATCATTTGGTGGGAGCATCACAGTTTTGGAACACGTATCTAAAGACAACAATTTTATTGTCATTTGGTCGACAACATGTCTCGAGCGGGTTTGAATTATATTTTTCATGAAGCTAAACGAGTTGATAATGTAGGCTCCGATAGCGCAAAGTGTGGATGCACAATTATGAAAACCTATGGTCTCTAATGTGCTTATCTTATTGCAAATAAGGTGAAACTTGGTAGTGCGTTAAGAATGGATGAAGTTTGCAGCCACTGGATAATGCTTAGGTTTAATGATGATGGTATCCTGAAAGACGATAAATCGAATATCTCTATCTTGACCAAATGGGAAGTGATACAAGAGATATTTTTGAAAGCCAATGATAATATAAAACTCCACATCAAAGAACAATCGAGGAAGATTGCTTATCCGAAAACCACTAACTTGAAACCACCCTCTCAACTGGTAAAAAAAAATGTGCTTTGAAGAAGCTTAAGCCTACATTGAGCGACAATTCAATGGTGCGGTCTCCTTCGTATTTTGAACATGTTGCTAGAGTTTTTCGGTCCCACTAACTCCAAAATATTATGTGTATTGGGTGGGTGGCTTTCAAAATCATGACACTTTACTCAAGTTTATTTGAAACTGAGATGCCCTATCATACAGTCTTCATAATGATATTTAAAAATACACGATTTATTCAAATGTTTATCACTCGCTTATACTTCAATCGCATCAACAATATCCCTTTTACCAACAGTAGGTTGGACTCCATCACCATGGATCATGCCTCCTTGCTCGTATAGTTCTCCATGGTGATCTTATGAAAATGTCCATATGGATCAGCCACTGGGTTTTCGTGATCCTCGTCACCTAGATCATGTGTGCCCCTTGTGGAAATCTAATTATGGTCCAAAGTAAGCGCCTCGTACTTAGTACAAGTGTTTCACTGACTATGTCTCCATTTTTGTATTTCAACGCAACATATACGACCACTCTCTCTTCATCTACCGATGTAACACCCTAAATTTTATTGAGAGTATTTATTTAATTTATTTAAATAAGAATATTCGCATTTTGGTAATTTTCGGTGGTTGTTGTGGAATATTGAGAATTATGAATTTTGGGTTATTTATTTAAATAATAGTATATAATATGAATATATTAGTATTATTATTAATTTAAATAAATACAAGTTAATTAAGGGGAAATTGGACAATTGAGGAGGAGTTAGTGAGGGTAATATTGGAAAGCTCAATTTTAAGGCCCAAGGTTAGGTTTAACAAAAAGGAATTCTTATGGGATTAGGATTCATTCTTGTTAGACCGTGAAAAGAAATTGAGGCTAGAGCTCTAGGGAGGAGGTTTGAGGCAAAAGCTTCGAAAGGTTTAGAGTCAGCAATTAAGGTATGGGGAGTATTGTCTTCATTGTTTTCAATGTATAATTTCAATGTATTTAAAGTCAATTTAAGGGTTTAAAGGGTTTGAGGCTGATTTTGAGATAAAGGGAAATTAGGCCTTCATGGCCAAAGATCTGGTTTGACATTTGTTTAACCCTGTAGGGAAATTAGATAGTGAGAAACTCTAATGATTATGGTATAGTTGTAAGGATTTATGGGAATTAGAGCGCGAATATGATATGGGATTGGCCTAATAAGTCGTGGATTTTGTGCCTTCATTGCCGTAAGACCTTAGGGATGTTTTTGGGTTATTGGGAAAGTGAATCGTGGGACTTTTTGGTTGATTTTAGGTTCTGATGCGTAACAGTGTTTTGCTATAATCACGTGTTCGCACAGTGAACGAAGCTCGTCCCAGACTCGCACAGCGAAGAACTCGCCCCAGACTCGCACATCGAACTTACTAGTGAACGTAGCAGAGTTTCGCGAATTCTGACCTTGTGCAATGATGCCTTAATGTTTTGATGTTGTGATTTCTTTGACGAATTAATATGGGTATGACTGTGAATTCTATGTGATTTGTACATGATTATGTAATGATTCCTATGATGTAATGATTGATGAACTACGATGATATTTCCATGAGTTTTGATGATTCTATGATGATATGATTTTTGATGATGATGATGATTATAATGAATGATGATGCATCTATGATGTTATTATGAGGATGCATATTGACGTGTGCATCATGCATTCATGTGCATCCGAACTTCGGTTCAAGACCTTGATTTCTTTGGCTTCAGTCCCATTGTGCGGATGTGAGGTATTTTGATGTGCTCCGATTCTCTAGTAGGGTTGATCCTATTGATGAGAATCTATGGAGGGTTGATGGCCCAGTGTCCATCGAGCTGTGATGATTGGTACAACATGCATGAGTCTTGTTTGCATTTGCATTCATGAGATGATCTTGAGTAATTTATGATGTTGTGACCTTTGATGTCCATTGATGAATATGACGATGTTGAATATGAAAATGACGTCATTTTATATATTGATTTTCTACATTGATTATTATGAATCGTTTTACTCACCCTGCCTGTTTGAATGTTGCCTCCACGTGGGTAACATGCAGATGACCAGGTTTAGCTGAAATTATGGGTAACACGCGATGGATGTTATTACAGATGTTATAACATCCCCTGTAACACAGACTATTGGAGTAATTAAAATGTGTAAAGAGAAAGCAGTAAATAACACAGTAATTGTTTACCAAGTTCAGTGTCATCAACACTTACATCTGAGGGCTACCAAGCCAGGGAGGAAATTCACTCTTAGTAGAATTAATTCAAAGTCAAACAACCCAGTTTGCACTCCTCACTTAAACCTACCCAATGACACTTCAACCTAAAGACACTCTAGACCTGAGTATTCTCACTCACTCCCCATTAATCACCTCAGTGATATCCAAATACAATTACAGAAAATTATGAAGATAC